TAACAGTAAGACTGACTTGTCTTATACATATATATAATTATTAAACTTTTAATATTATAATAGTATAAGGGTTGAATTTTAAACTTTTAAAATTCTAAGGTTTGGAATTAAATGTTTCATAAGTGAGACTTTACAAATTCCAAAACTTGAGGGCAAGTTTTAAAACTCTTCAAAACTTTTGGTTTCCATAACTTATGAGTTTAATGTTTATTTTATGATGAGACTTTTCATGTTCCATAACTTAAGGATAAGTTATGGATTTGATTAAAAACATTTAGATCAATTTTAACCAATAAAATAATCATAAAATTTATCATTGATCTAATTAAACTCATAAGGTAAGATAATATCAAGTCAACAATTTACAAGTATTTAGCTTATCATACAACTAACAAATATCATAAAATTTTGACAATTATTTTATAATTGGATTAGGATAATCATCACATATAAAAAAAATGAATTTTATGATACAAAATAGTTTGTGGTGATGATCATAATTTAATTCTGGCCAAAAGGCTCGAAAATCTACAAGCAGAAGCTTCTACTCGACGAGTGCATAAACTAGACTCGTCGAGTTTCCTGCCTGTAAGTGAACTCGTCGAGTTCATCAGTCGGAGGCCAAAAATGTAGCTTTTTCAGCTTTGAAAAATTAATCATGCATCAATATAACAAAAAAACTACACTAGGCTCTGATACCACTGATGGGTTTTGAGCACTATAACAACCTTAAGGTGCACATACAACCCTAATGCATTGGATCTAAGTTTTCTTTAGTTATACATGCAATAATGTTTTCCAAATCATGAAGCATAAACCAACATATAAAATGTGATAATTGAATCATAAAACTAGTTAGATAGTTTACCTTTTGTTGTAGCTTGTTACGTTTGGTCTTTTAGAGCTTAGCACCTCAAGTGTGATGCCTAAAATGCTTCACAAAATACCACCAACAATTAGAGGACTTGAGAGAGAAGTTCTAGACACTAAAATTGGCTATATGAACTCCAAGAACACTAGTATCTCCGATTTTAGGCTAAGGGGTAACATATATATAGTTTAGGATTCCAAGAGTCATGTGTAAACCCTAATCCATACACTTGGCTTATGATCCATAACACATGTGGGCTAACTCTTCATGGAAACTTACATAAACTTAGCCCATCATGGATCAATAGCCCAAACCATATGTATCACTGATTTACACAATCAGTCCCCATAAATTTAATTAGTCTCTTTTGATCACTAAATTAATTCCAAATTAATCTTGATCAATACTAATTAAATAATATGATTTCACAATTAATATATTATACTTATAATATATTAATAAATCACAAGTAATCTCTTTCTCAAATATCCATCCTATCAGATTGTTCTGGTGAAATGCGACCTAAATGGACCATGTTACTCTCGGGTCAAGTACATACCAATTATAGTTATAGGCTTAGACACCAAATCCAACAGTATGTTGTGTAAAACTTGGTTATTTGTTGGATATTAGCTTGGATGTATGTTGTGTAAAACATGGTTATTTGTTGGTTATTAGCTTAGATGTATGTTGTATAAATGATTTTGTGGGGAAAAGTAGGGACATTTTTTGTCTATTATGAAGTTTTATAAAATTAAAGTCAACCTTATTTTATTTTATAAAAATCTTGACATTTTTATTAAAAGTGTGGTATGTATAAATATTTAATTTGAATTATAAAGATTCAATTTGTTAAAAAAATCATTATTATCAAAAATAATAATACGTTACACGAAAATTAGGTTGATTCCTAAATTCCTTCCATTAAAAGTTGGGCGTTTTAAGTTGGGTATAGAATTTCTCGCATTTGGTGACGACTTCACCAAAAATTTGCACTTTTGCCTTTGTTTTGAATTTCCCATGTAGCATAGGGTTTATGAACTCTACTGAATTTAATTATGAATATTATTTATACTAAAATAATATAAAATTGAATTACCGAATTGTTATGATACTAATCTTATTTAGGGTTTATATTTGAATATTTTCCAATAAGAAATGTACTTTGTATTATAATTTGTCAATCGTACACCAGACACATTAGAGAATATCCCAATTCACCTAAAATTCTAATACAAGTATCGAGTTGACCTGGATGACTTTTGTTGACCAAAAATGACAGTTGTCACAATCTATTATAAACTGTCATGTCTAATATTTTTAATTATGCTTTTCAGCTTATCCAACAAATCGAACAAGAGAATTATCCAAAAACATCTAACTCTCAAAGTTGTTAAAGCAAAATAAGGGGAAGCCTGCGAGTTTGGATTTCGACAGAGATATCATATTTTCTCTTATCGAGAAACATGACAATATATTTATCTATGAGATTGGGCGGTGTGTGTTGGAGAACATCCATTATAGTGTAACTGGATAGAATAATATTTCCCCCATTTTAAAGAATGTCACAATCGTGCATCTAAAAGTAACTTATTTATATGATAATATTTTAAATTTATTTGTGATTGTTACCTATTTAACTAAATTTTTGTATTTGTAGAGAGAGGTTGATTTGGATCAGGTTAACTTGGATCCCCATTGTGCTTAGTTGTTGCGGAGCATTTACGCATCTCTATAAAAGCGTTATATAGATCGGAAAAGTAAAGATTGTAGTCATTTTGAGAGAGTCGGAGGGCTTGCAGTTATCCCACGACCATTAGCCACCCCCAACATGTCCCGTGAAAATTAGGCGAAAGTAGTTGTACATTCTCAAACGCCCGAATTTATAAAGTGTTTGATAGCAAACATAACAGTTTCTTCACTACAACAATACACACATAAAAGGGGTTGTACTCGTATAGTAGTGGTTGTTTCAAAGAAGTTAATTATGATATATTTAATTGTTTATTTAAAGTGTAATTAATCTAAATTTTAATCTTACATAGGACTTAATTAGACTCGAAGTCTTTTATAAGACTCGTACCAATCGTCTAAGGGGTACTCATTAATATGTAAGTGGTTAATTATAGTATTTTCATATAAATGTTTATTTATATTATGATGTTACTTATTTTTCGAAAATACAAAATGCTTTAGTCCAAGAGTTAAATCAACAAACTCAAGCTTTAACTGAAGAAAGTGGTCTAACAACACAAGAAGTAAGAAATGGTTTTGAAAAAAATTCGGGTGCTTGATGCGTCCATATCAGACATAAACCTTCTACGGTGGTGTTGATGTATGATCGGGAACAACCATCATAGCCACCACCACTATCACAACCACAATCACAGGTAACAAGACTATTTAATTTTAAAATTTCTTATATATACTTAGGTTATAGTTTGATATGTTGGTATTTGTAATTTCGTAATTGATAGTTGGTTATATTTTGGTAATTGTTAGTTTCCTTATGTTTTGGTAATTGCTAGTTTGGTAATAGTTTGATATGTTGGTGATTGTTAATTTGGTAATAGTTTATATGTTAGTAATTGTTAGTTTGTTTATATGTTGATAATTTGTAGTATGATATTTTTTTATTTTATTTATTTATTTTTTTTGTAGTTGAATATGCTTCAAACAATGCTGAGATATCTGACATGCAGTGTGACACTTGAAGAATGATTTCGATCCTTGCCACCACGAAGAAACAATACTAGAGGGAACGTGGGGGAGAATAAGGGGAGCGATAATGATATATAGCTATTTTTAAGATTTATTTAAAGTTTTTAAAATTATAACATATTTTGCACTTGAAAGTTTTATTAATATTTTAGGATGGATGTTCGTATTATTAAATTTTAGTGTTTCGATCTATTTATTTAGCAGTTTTTTTATTTATATTTTTATAACGTTTGTTTTGTATTTGGAATGAATGGTTTTATAAAAACTTAAAAAAGTGAAAACTACAAATACTAGCGACGGATAGCATTAATGTCGACGCATGGTATACACATAGTATTAGCAACGATATATAGCATTAGGAGCGACAATTTGAATATTAGCAACGAGCCAATAACAGCGATCCTTTAGCTGCTAGAGATGGCAACGGGGGGCGGGGAACACAAGGGACACCAATCCCCATCTCCATCCCCGAATCTTCATTCCAATCTCAATCCCCATTCCCGTTGGGGAATATAAATAAACCCCTATCCCCACCCCAAACAGGAAAACGGGGATTTCTTTTTCTCTTTTAACATGCAAACTTTTACGTAATAAAAAACTCTATATTTCAATTTTACCAGTATAAGTTATATATATATATATATATATATATATATATATATATATATATATATATATATATATATATATATATATATATATATATATACACACGAGTTTAAATTAGATAAAACGAAAAACAAAAAGTATAATTTCAACCAATTATTAGTAATGAGTTAGGTTACTTAGATTAAATTTTATGAATTATAAACTATAGTATAAATATATGTTTTGTATTGTTTTTATATATGTTGTGGCAGGTCTAAGATCGGGGATTAAGGGTACCATCCCCACTATTTTTTTTATTCGAGTATTCCCCATCACCGATCAACTTGGGGATTCCTTAATCAAAAAGGGTACGGGTTTCGGGTTTTCCATTGGGTATGAGCTTTTTGCCATCCCTATTAGCCGCGACTTGTGCCACTAATACCTTTAGCGGCAACATTCATCCCACTAAAGGTCATTATTTTTGTAGTAACGACCCGCCACTTGACCCGCCATCACATATATATATATATATATATATATATATATATATATATATATATATATATATATATATATATATATATATATATATATTGACAAACACATGTTTTTGGTTTCCTTATAAATTTAAAAAAGGGAGAAGATTCTAAACAAGGTAACTCTCACATGGAAGGCCTTTAAATAATATATGATTTGGTCAAGCGTGTTTTATAATTTATTTTTTTAAATATTATTGCTAATAATAGCATAACTTTATATATTCTATATATGAATATGATTCTATATTCGTTTGTATTCTCAATTTTTTTCCTATAAAAGAATGAATACACAGCAATGGCCAGGCGCAACTAATAAACATATCTCGATCATAATGGTGAGCAAGCTCTTTACATTTACCAGAAGACAACTTCACACCATTGTCTCTAGGGATATCATCAAACCCTCTTCTCCAACCCCTTCTCACCTCAAAACATATAATCTTTCCTTGTTTGATCAACTTGCTGTGAATGCATACATGCCTGTTGTAGCATTCTACCCAAGCTCTAGCCTTTTTCAAAGCTCCCATGATAAAACCCTTGAGCTGAAGAACTCCTTGTCACACACCTTAAATCAGTATTATCCGTTTGCTGGTAGGTTCGCCAAATCTTGCCCAACATACGTTAACTGCCATGACGATGGAGTTGAGTTCATCGAAGCAAACAACGACAATCAACTCTCCGACTTCCTCCACCATTCAGACCATGAAGATCTAGATCAACTCTTTCCAGATGATCTTATATGGTACAAGTCAAACCACAATGGTCATAACGATGAAAACGAAAGCACTTCACCTTTGTCTGTTCAAGTCAACCATTTTTCATGCGGAGGAGTAGCCGTTGCAGTATCGCTATCGCACAGGATTGCAGATGGAAGCAGTATTTTTAATTTCCTCAATCACTGGGCTACAGTGACACGATCTCGTTCACCAGAGCATCATGATCTATCGCACATGAATCCGCATTTTCTTTCCTACAAGACTAGAGACGTTAAGTTGCCTAAAAACATGCCTGATAGATCACAAGGTGACTATGTCACAAGGAGTTTTGTGTTTCCTAACACAAAGATAAACAACCTCAAAGCGAAGATCACAAGCATGAGCATGGAATCTGGAGAACCGATCTTGAACCCTACACGAGCCGAAGCCTTAACATGGCTAATTCATAAGTGCGCAGTGGCAGCAGCTTCTAAAACCAACTCAGGGATTTTGAAGCCAACAGGAGTGGGTCAAATAATGAGCATTAGAAATAATTTAGCAGAGTCGTTGCCTGAAACAAGCGTAGGGAATCTTTATCTGTTGATGGAGTTTCCAACAAGAGATGAAAGTGAACTAACACCACATAATATCATTCGTGAACTAAGGAAAAGAAAGATGGAATTTCGAGGTATAAAGAATATGGAAACTGCATTGGGTATCGTTGCTGAGGTGTGTTCTGATCACGCTGCTATGCTTCAGACGTCAAAAAGAGTTGATGACTATTACATCTATACTCTTATAAACAGGTTTCCTACATATGGGATTGATTTTGGGTGGGGTAAACCCATAAAAGTAACTGTTGGTGGGGTTGTGAAGAATGTTATTATAATGATGAATACTCCGAATGGGGATGGCATCGATGCACTCGTGTGTTTGGATAGACAAGACATGAATATAATTCAAAACGATCCGGAACTGTTAGCGTTTTGCTAATTCAAACAACGCAATGGCAAAGCTGGAGTAAATATCATTAATGCAATTTGGTGTGTGTTAGCCATTAAAAAAGAAGTTATGCATAGTTTTTTTATTGGAGAACTGGGTATTCAATGATATTTTTTGTGTTTAAATTTCATAAATAGTAATAAAAAAATATGGTGTCTGATTGGAAGCATTCGTGGTGTGATCCAAGAAAAAATATATTTAATTAAAATAGTATCTATTGAAAATCTTCATTTAAGATTTGAAATTAAGAGTATTCTTTGAACTAGTACTAGGTAAATTATGATATTTTAAAATGATGAAGAAATTTGTTGGAAAATTGGTGCTGTCAAGTCAACGTGGTTATCGTGCTTATGTTGATTTCAAGTCACGTGCTTCTTTGTGGTGTTCTCAAGGCAAATTATTGTTCTAAAGTCAATCTGTGTGTAAGTGAGGATAGTAGTTTAATCCATTGAATGCAACTTAGATATGTTTTAGTATCATTTGATTTTTTTATTGAACTATGCATTTTTTATGGTTAAGTAGCAATATAATTAGCATAATATAATTCAATACATATCGATAGAAGATAAACGGGCTACAAACTACGCTGCTAGTCTTTTCTGAATTGCAAAACTAATCTTTTTGAAAATAATATATATGGATCTATGAGATATGATATTAGAGTGCATGACCCATTGGATTCTGTTGAGGAGCTCCACTGTCTCTGGTGCGAGAAAACCAAATGTGTCAAATGCAAAAAGCACAAACAAATGTTGATTTTCTATACATGCATTTTCGTGCTTTGCTACTTTGCATATAACGGCTTTCAAAGCGGCATGCCCTACTGTGAAACCCCCGCTCCTTAAGCCGACGAGAGAAGAGACCACAGTAAGATCCATACTTACGTGCTTCCCTCCTACTGTGAAACCGCTACAGTCAAATCCCAGAATCGTATCGCGAAGACGAGTCATAGCACATAGGTAATCAGAGATCATACCACATATGCCACTGTCACGTAAGATGTGGTCTTATAATGCACAAGATTGGTCCCTTGAGGCTACAAATACATAGGAGGAAACCTCCTATGCATTATGAATGCTCATAGTTATCCCGATTTGTATACTTTATTTCTATATAATCCAAGTAATTGTTGGCAAGAGCTGAAAGTTAGGAACATTTGTTGTATTTAGAGTTATCTAGATCCTAGTTATCAGGATAGTTATCATGTATATGTAACCTATTTATACTTGTAACCTTGTTAATATTCAATATGAAAAACATTAGGAAGATAATTCCTCCAAATCTGATCTAAACTACATGGTATCAGAGCGGAGAACTTTCTGAAATCACTAAACCATATCGAAGCAAAGCACTGAGTCGACATGAGCGGAGGAGATAATTTCGGAGGATCGAATCCCGTAATCGTACAAAATGTTCAAGACTCTCTGTTTCCTACCGAAGTTGTTCTTGACGAAAGCAATTACCCCCTGTGGTCTCAATGGATAGAGATGCACATTGGGGCTCGGAATAAGTCGGGTTTTCTTACCGGTAAGGTTGTGAAAACCACAACGAACGAGAAGGCACTTGAAGCTTGGATCACGGATGACAACAAAGTGAGGAGTTGGCTCATTGACTCAATGAGTACAACGTTGATGCGTTGTTTCATTCGGCTAAAAACGGCAGCGGAGATATGGGATGGCGTCTCGAAAACGTTCTATGACGGATTGGATGAGACTCAACTGTTTGAGTTGAATCAGAAAACATTCATCACTCGTCAAAACGGACGTCCTCTCCCAACCTACTACAACGAACTTGTAAGTCTCTTCCAAGAACTGGATACTCGTATGAATGATAATGGTAATAATGTTGAAGCCACAGTAGCTGTAAACAAGCCACTGTCACGTTTTAGGGTTCACATTATTTTGGCGGGTTTGGACCCAGACTTTAACCAGGTCAAGAGTGAATCCCTTAGAAAAGACCCACCTTTAAGCCTTGAGGCGTGTTACGTCTATATCCGAAAAGACCTGAATCAGAGACAAGCTATGGACCCGATACCGATTGAACCCGACAGTGTTGTTAATATAGCTGCTCGAAACAAACCTGCAAAAACCAAGGGGTCTAATGAAAAGGGTGGAAATAATTTTGTGTGTACTCATTGTGGAGAATCGGGTCATTCAAAATTAAGATGCTATGAAATAATCGGATATCCCGATTGGTGGGATTTCTCGAAGAAACCGAGAAAGAAGCTTCCGCAAAGCCAAGCAACCGTGGCCACATTTTCGCAGGAAGGGTCTCCAGTTGCTGGTCATACCTCTACGAATCAGGGTAAGTCTAGAAGCAAATCTCAAAAAGATAGTGATCGGATTATTGATACGGGGGCTACGGATCATATGATCAATAACCCAAACTTGTTGACTACATCGTATACTTCAAAACAACCAAAACAACTAAATATCTACACCGCCAGCGGAGATATTGAAAAAGTTACAGCCGAAGGCATGATAAAAGTGTCTAGTTCTATGGAATTGGATTCTGTCCTTGTGGTCCCTTCTCTATCTACAAACTTGTTGTCAGTTAGTCAGATAACCAAGGCATTAAATTGTTACGTTACTTTCTGGCCAAATGATTGTGTTTTCCAGGACATGGAGACTCACTAGATTCGTGGTTATGGTACTAGAAGAGGGAGGCTATATTACTTAGAAGAAGGTCATCGAAGTCAAGCAAATCATGCAGGAGTAGCTAGAGAAAATAAGTCCCTAGCGATGTTATGGCACCATCGGCTTGGACATCTTTCATTTACGTATCTTAGGAAGTTGAAACCAAACTTGTTTTTGAATATTTCAGACAATGTTTTTAGTTGTGACATTTGTGAATTATAAAAAAATAAACTTATTTCATATACTCCTGGTGAGTGTAAAGCTACTACTCCTTTTGCGGTAATCCATTCCGATGTATGGGGCCCGACTCCAATTGAAACTCCTAATGGTGCTCGGTATTTCGTTACATTCATAGATGAATGCACCAGAATTATGTGGGTGTCTCTGCTCAAACACAAAAGTGAAGTATTTAATGCGTTTAAGAACTACACCTACTTATAAAAACTGAATTTCATAGAAATATACACACCTTTCAGTCGGATAATGGGGGTGAGCATGTGAGTCTTGAGATGGGCAACTACTGCAAAACGAACCTAATCCGACATCAGAATTTATGTGTGCGGACTCCACAACATAATGGGCTTGCCGAAAGCCGTAATAGGTCCATTCTCGAAATTGTTCGAGCTCTTATCTTTGATATGAATGTCCCACGTAAATTTTGGGGAGAGGCAGTTAAGTCGGCAACCTACATTATGAATCATACACCTTCACGAGTAATTGAATTTACTACACCCATGAAAAAACTCCATGACCTACTTGGAACCTCGCCTAACAAGAACCTTGAACCTAGGGTTTTTGGTTGTACCGTGTACGTATATCAGAATTCTGGTAAGCTAGAACCTCGAGCCATCCGTTGTTTCTTTCTTGGGTATGCTGATTTCAAGAAAGGCTACCGGTGTCTCGATCCCACAACTGGTAAGGTGTACATCACTCGGGATGTTTCCTTTCATGAAACGATACCCTATTTTTCACGTGAGGGCTCACTTCAGGGGGAGAAGCAATGTAATGGTGAAGTTAGCCCGACAGAATCATCACCGGTGCCTGACCACTTTTCAGACTGAAGTTAGCACCAGTGGACTGGATGACTCCGATGAAGATTATGAACCAGTACCTAATGACTTCTCGCCTACTGATCCCGCTGCTGAAACCCAAGCGGATAATACTGATAACACTGATGACGACATTGCTACTGCTGATGATAATGTACCGGGTTCACCTAGTTCTTTTGTTTTGCAGGAAAATAATGGAAGTGGCGAGGAGTCCTCTGTCTTTGATGAAGGATCTGCGCAAAGATACCCCACAAGGAGTACACGTGGAAAGCCAAAACGACAGTATGAACCTGTCTTGACTGCAAAAGGGAAATATCCGATCAGCAATTACGTTTCACAACATCGACTCACAGGGGCACATGCATCATTTGTTGAAAGCTCGTCAGATATTACCATCCCTAGAGACATACACGAAGCCCTAAAGGATGAATGATGGAAAAATGAGGTAAATGAAGAAATGTGCGCATTACAAAAGAATTTAACGTGGGATTTGGTTGCACTCCCTAGCGGGACGAAAACAGTTGGGTGTAGATGGGTGTTTAGTGTAAAGCTAGACTCAAATGTAAATTTTGTGAAGTTTAAAGAGAGATTGGTAGCGAAGGGGTATACACAAAAATACGGAATAGATTACGGGGATACTTTCGCACCTGTGGCAAAAATCAACACTATCCGAATCCTAATATCAATTGCAGCAAATGAAAATTGGCCGTTGAAACAATTTGACGTGAAGAATGCGTTCCTAAGTGGGTGTCTTGAAGAAGAAGTGTACATGGAACCGCCACCAGGTATCGAAAGTCATGGTAAGGTGTGTAAGCTAAAAAAGGCGTTATATGGTTTGAAACAGGCCACAAGAGCATGGTTTGGCAGATTCTCAGTGTTTATGAAAAAGGTTGGGTATAAGCAAAGTGATGCTGATCACACCTTGTTTATAAAGTCAAAAGTAGGTGGAAAGATAACGGCCTTGATTGTATATGTCGATGACATGATAGTAACAGGAAATCACGAAAAAGAGATGGAAGAATTACAAGTAATTCTAGCAGCCGAATTTGAATTAAAAGACCTTGGAAGCTTAAAATACTTCTTAGGGATTGAACTAGCTAGATCAAAGAATGGGATAATGATGAACCAACGGAAGTATGTGTTGGATTTACTGACGAAAACTGGAATGCTAGATTGTAAGCCGATTGACACTCCTATTGAAGTAAACCATCATCTGGAAATACTTCCAAATAAGGTTCCAGCTAACAGAGACAGGTATCAAAAATTGGTGGGTAAATTGATCTCTCTATCTCACACTCGTCCTGAT